ATAGGTGAGTCTTTAGGCTTCTATTTCAAGCATGTTTAGTACACACTTAGCACCACTAGCTTGGCTCCATGGCCTCATTGCTGAGGTTGGAGGTGTGCAGAACAGGAACAAGAGGGCAGGACATATGTTGCACCTCCACTCCCAGGCAGAGCAGAGGAGGTGCACACTAGACCCTTGTCTGCAGGTTACCTTTCTGGCTCGCAGACGCTCACTGACTCTCTGGGCAGAGGTCTTAGAGCACCCACACCTCTCACCTTCCCAAGTCTCAGGGTCCTGTAATAGCTTTAAGTTCCCTTTCATCTTTCTTTTCAGCTTTTCAAGAACCCATCTCTTCACAGGTAGAAGTCTGAGTATAAAAGTTGAGTGTTTTGTGGGATTCTCTTTACCTGGGTCTGTGTTTTCCTCTTCTCACGTGTTTAGTTAGAGAACTCTATGGGATTGAACTCCACAGCAAGCAACCCACCACAGAGGCCTGTCCCCTATTCATAAAAAATTATGTTCATCACAAGAGCCATGCCTGGCTCCTCAGGTAACAGATAATGCGGGACTGCCCCCTTAGAGCAATTTCCTTCTTTCTTTCCTCTAAGTCACAAATGCAATCTGTTGCCTTCTGCTATTATCAGTATTTTTTATATTGACATATATAAATGATGTAAATCTCTTTTTAATGTTCCCTATATTTCTGGATAAGGGCTATGTGGTGTTAGCTTTGCTTGAGGGTCACTTTTCTCAGTGTTTGCATCTGACTCTACAGAGTGATTCTGTGGTAATAACAGGCGACACTGGGGAGCTGGACCATCTCCACTGGTATCTGCAAGTTGACTTGTTTCATTATTGCCACCAAATAGGAAATTCACATTCAAATATCTTAATCTCCTTGTGGCAGTACATGATACCAGATACTTTTCTTGTTTGAACATCTTCTGCCTGCCCTTCACTGTTACAGAGAACTGAGGTGCAAACAAAATTAACCCAATTGCAAGTGAGTGTGGGGCGCAGGGTGGGGGGGTGGGGGTGAAACCCTGAAGGGCATGCTGAAGCCCTATGTGGACTCTCACCCCAACGACTTGGATGAGAAGCTTCCACATCTGCTCTTTGCTTACAGGGAGGTATCTCAGGAGTCTACCAGGTTCTCAGCCTTTGAGTTGATGTTCAGGAGGCAAGTTAGGGGCCTTCTTGATCTTGTGAAAGAGGAGTGGGAAGGGAAGATCTCTTCCTCCAAAATATCAGAATATGTGCTAGGCTTTCCCCAAAAGCTGATCGACACGATGATGGTGATGTGAGACTCCCTGGCCCAGGCCCAGGAGAAGCAGAGTGTCTGGTACAACAAAGGTGCACTCACATACATTTGAGCCATGGGATAAGGTTATGGTTTTCCTACAATTAAAGTAGGACAAATTCCAGGCAGCTTGGGAAGGTCCTCATATCATCCAGTAGAAGCTGGATGATGTGACTTATGTTGTTGCCATGAATAAGTCAGGTAAAAAGCCTAAGGTGGTACATGTAAACATGCTCAAACCTTACTATGACAGGAACAATGTCATACTTTGGATGTCCTCTGCTGATGAATCCCCTGAGAAACAGGAGGAGGAGTCTGTGCTGTGTGCTGATTGGGAGGGGGAGACAGGGGTACAGAAGCTTCCCCTACCTGATCATCTTCCCCCTCAGGGCAGACAGAAGATTCAGCCTGTGACAAGTCCCTGGGCAAGCCCGCTGGTGCTTGTCCAGAAGCAGGATGGATCCATTAGGTTCTGTGTGGACTACAGGAGGCTGAATGTGATCACCACCCACAACGCTTACCCTATGCCCAGGACGGACTCTCTGCTTGACACCCTGGTTTTAGCCAAGTTCATCTTTACTCTCAATCTATCCAAGGGGTTTTGGCAGATGGCACTAGATGTGGATGCTATGTCCAAGTCCGCCTTCCCCACACCTTTGGGATGTTTGAGTTTACAGTCCTTCCTTTTGGTATGTGCAATTCTCCTGCCTCCTTTCAAAGACTCATTAATAACTTGCTAAAAGGATTTAAGAAATCTGTAGTGGCCTATATCGATGACATCACCATCTTCATCCAGGACTTTGACGCATACCGGATTCATCTAACCACTGTGCTGGACAGGATTAAAGAGGCTGGACTAACAGTGAAAGCAAAAACATGTCAGTTGGCATTGTGCAAACTGGTGTATTTGGGACACTGTGGTTGGGAGCAAGATCACCCTGATGTGGGATAAGATGCAGGCCATTAAACTGGCCACTGCCACAAGCTAACAAACAGGTCAGAGTTTTTATTGTTCTGGCCAGGTACTACAGAAAGTTTGTCCCCTCTTTTGGGGCAATAGCTGTTCCCCTGCATGAACATGAAGGGACACAATACCAAAAAAGCAGGAAGTTGATTCCCCACAAATGGAGCATATCTTCCATGCAGGAGGAGTGATTGGCAATAGTCTGGGCACTGAACAAGTTGAGGTCCTACTTGTGGGGAGTCCTAACAGACCATGCCCCACTTCAAAGGCTGCAGACAATGCAGAATACCAATGCCAAGCTTCAAAAGTAGGCATGGCAGCTTCAGGAGTTCAACATGAAAGTGGAACACATAAAGGGATGCCTGAATGTGGTGGCAGACTCGCTGCCCAGAAAAGATTCTTCATAAGAGGCAGGCAACCAGTGCCCGGGTAGAGGCTGCGTTACCCTAGGCTTGCAGGGGTTCTCCAGGAAGCGGGACTGTCAGCTGCAGGATCCCTGAGAGAGACCCTTGAAGTGAGGTTTTGGGTCTTGCAAAGTGAGGTGGGTGTCTCTGTGTAGTAGCGCTCCCTACAGTGCCGCAACACTGATGAGCTTGTAAGGTCCCTTCTAGCCCCTAGCATCTATGAAACTATGAAAAGGGGCAGAAGACAGATAGTGGTGTAGAAAGAGCAGTGGAAAGGCAGGGACAGAGAGCAGATGAAGGGAAGAGATGGCATTTTAGCAGACTGGGGGCAGAGAGAGATGGTATTTTACACCGTTGTAATTAACATTACACCAATACAAAAGGTAGAAGACAAACCATGAAATTGCCCAACCTCATGGAAAATTAACCTGGAAAGAATCTAGGTTAACCTGGTACTGGTGTATGTCCCACCAGTTTTGGATTCATCAGTCCATGTTCAGCCTCATACAGGAGTTTGTTAAATGCAAGCAGGCTATTATAAGGAACCTGCTTAAATCATGGTGAGACAAAGGGTTTTTCATGGCCTGCTTGCAGTGTGCAGAACCCACTTCACAGGCATTTCATGGCAGTCCCACTGCTTACCACTGATCGCCTGCGAAGCCAGTCATTCATCTTCAGACTGCAGCATTGCTACATTGCATCTAGCTTCTAGAAGATGGCACCTAAACACTTTTGCCTTTCTGACTGGCACCTTCATTTAGTCTACATCACTAGCTCAGCCTCTCAGTAGTTCTCACTCAAATCATATGTTCTACGGCTGCATTCCCTAGTCCTCTAATTTCATACTTTCATAGATGTTAGGGGCTGGAATCAATAAACTCAATATGCTGCGCTGGGATATAGGTATATATATTGATTCCACAGTTGGCAATGGACTAACAGGACGTGAAACCAGCTGAAGACTCATGTTATGTTATCCAAGGCTAGGGGAGAAAATTAAAACTGAATCCAAAAAGGAAAGTATAAACCAGCGGAAGCTTAAAACATTCCAAATGATTATCACAGGCACATTCTGCTGCAGTAAGTAACACATGCACTGTTCTTCTGTGCAATGTTTTGCTGTTAGCAGTTGTGTGCTATGGCCTTGATCAGCTGTTGGGGTGTTTACAGAATGATCTGCTATCACCAGTCTGAGCTGGAATTTCTCTTGCACACTGACTTCCCAGAGGTTCCCCACTGAGGAGGGTCAACCTCAGGTTATAAAAGCAGTCAAGTTATGTTCAACAGCTCAGCATCTGCAGCAGTCTCTGTAGAAACAGAGGGATGAAGTTCTTCATGGTTCTCTGTGCTCTTTTTGCCCTCTCTGAAGGCTTTACCAGGTAAGTTGCTGTTTTACTGCTTCTCCTTCATCTGTCACTGCTGCTAACCAGCTTGCTTAAAAAAAAAATCATGTAGATAAAATGAACTCACAGTCCCTTCTGGCTCCCATGTCATTTAATCTAACAACAGAGGGATAGGAAATGTAGAAAGCTTAAACATGGGAAGGAGAAAAGATCTCTTTTTGGATAAGGTCTGGGAAGAGATGGGAAGTTATGAGAAGGACAAGGCCATTCCGAATGGAGAAGACACTTTTGCTGGCAGTGGTGAGACTATATCCATGCTTGATAAGCAGAGGAGTATTTCCATTGATTTAAAATGTTCATTCAATCAGCCAAATAAGGAAACCTATTGCACATGTCATGGGAGTTGATGGCTTTAATGCAAACTGTTTCCCTTAGGCTCAGTGCACAAGAAAAGTCTGAAAAGAGCATTTTAGTCATTAGGGTTCTTGGTTGTTTTTATTTTTGTTTTGTTTTGTTTTTTGTACACAAGGATTTCTTTGAAGAGATTGAAGACACTGAGGGAAGTCCTGAGGGAAAAAGGCTTGCTGAAATATGTCCTGAAGCACTACAGCTATGACATTAGCACCAAATATGCACACTCATTTGCTTCCCAGGGGTTCTCCGAGCCACTCATGAACTCTTTTGGTGTGAGTTTATGCTCTGATACAATTGATTTGTTTCAGGAAGGGAAGTACATTATGGCTGCTTTACAGGTTTCTTGGGGATCTCAAGGCTGATGTATTGGTTGGGTAGGGCTGCCTGCCAATATAGACTAGGGCTGTGTGAAATTTCACCGGCTGTTTTGTTCCAACACTGTTTTGACCAATTTTGAGGTCAAAACAGCAAAATTGAAATGAAACAAAGGCCATCGAAATAGCCTCAAAACAAAATGAGGTTGGTCGAAACATTTCGAAAGTCAAAACATTTCGACCATAGGCTGGGGATGAGAAATCAGTCCAGCTGGGCTGTCTTCCCATTCCCAGTTCAAGATCCGGCAGGGGATAGTGAGGCAGCCCACCTGGGCTGCTTCCTGGCCCTCCGTTTTATATCATGCCAGAAGGTGGGAGGCAGCCCAGCAATCTAGCATGGTGGACTGGGAAGCTCCTGGCACGATCTAATGCATGGGGCCAGAAAGCAGCCTAGCTGAGCTGCCTTTCGCCCCGGCACGATCTTATGCAGGGCATGGGAAAGCAGCCCAGCTGGGCTGAATTCCCATTCCCAGCAAAACTCAAAACAGCAGCAAAACAGCCTTTCTGTTTTGACAGAATGGAACGGAACAGCTGTTTTGACTTGAAATTAAATTTGAGACAAAACACTGTTCCATCGAACCGTTGAAACTGAAGGTGAAACAGAACGGTGCTGTTTTGCACAGCCCTAATATAGACCAAAGCCCCATTCACCACATTTTCTCACGTACAAAATGCCCTGGAATAAAATATGTACCTTGATTCTGAAAGGCAGACTGAAGGGAAAAGAAGATTTTCCCTTGTAATAAGTAATTGAATAGCAGCAGCGAGAGAGGCTGGGCTGCTCATTGTTCTGCTCCCTGTGAGTGCAGATTTTACTTTCACTTCTGCTCAGTAATGGGCAGAAACTGCTCGTACCATATTTCCCTCATAAGTCACACTGCAATTTCCAGCAGTAGTTTTTGGGGAAAGGTGTATGTAATATGCTATACAATATAGTATGTTTGTGTCTGGGAATAAGCTATGTTTCACATGCTCTCCCTTGTGCATGTACCTGTTCCTGTCCTGGAGGTATTGACACTTGGATTTAACCTGGTATGCCTACAGGTGAGCAAGTGCCTGCTAGTAGACCCAGCATTATGCATCTATGGGTTAGATGTGCAAGTCCTGCTATGCTACAGCAGTGACAGCACAGCTCTGTGCTCCTGGTGCTAAGGGCTTTTGTGCCCTGATTGAGCCCACTGAATTCAGTAGAAAGGCTCCTGTTGGCTTCAGTGTCCTTTTGGTCTGGACCTTAGGGCTGCATTTAGGCACCTGCATGTATTTTAACCACTTAAGTATCTAAATATATTTACCAAAATAAATGGAAAATACTTGTACACAGCTGACCACATTTCCAAATGAAGTAAAATATATGCTGGTGTTATTGAAAGAGTCTCAGGTGATATGGAAGGGATCATTTAGTTTGAAGAAAAACTTTTTAGGCTTTTGCAGCAAAGACCAGTAGGGGTCTTTGGCTGACTGTGATATTCCACCCTCCATCAAACCATGACTTTGTTCTTGGCACAGACTTGATCTTACATGGTTGTTTATCAGACTCATGTTGCAACAGTGATGAACATTATCAGAAAAATGCTAACAGCTACAAAGATGTTTGCATACAGAGCAGCCAACTTGTCTGAACCCAATGACACAATGTAAAACACAAATGGAAAAGCCTTTTCAATTTGATTTTTCCCATGTTTCAACTGCAGTTTTTCTGCCTTGTAGTCTAAAAACTGGAGCTGAGGCTCATTGCAGTGTGTGTCTACTGCTCAGCACAATGCCCAGGGCAGCTGCCCTATTTGCCCTACTCAAAGGCTAGCTGTACACTGCGGATTCAGTGGGGGCATCTACATGTACACTTTACTGCAGAGGTAATTAATTAGTGTCACTGTCTACACATGCAGTGCTATTAGGCTGGAGTAAACAAAATAACTGTGCTGTAGGACAGTACTGCCCAACACAAGTACTCCCCACCAGCAGCATTATGTAGTGTACCACAATGCACATGTAGATGGTGGCCTGTACTGGCTGGAGCATGAGGGTGCTACAGTACAGGGGTTGCCTGCCAACTAGCCCTGCACTAGAGAAAATTTGTGCCCCAACCAGCCTATCCACAGTACTTTGAGCTGGGGCAGAGCAGCTCCAGGCTGGCAGGCTGACAGGCTGACTGCCAGGGGGCTACACCACCTTGGCTCAATTTGCTGCCATCCTGGATGCACATGTAAATGCTGCACCTGGCAAACCTTAGACAGTTGTGGGGTAGAGCCTTGATGGCTAGGAGCTTTAGGTCAGTAACAGCAGCACTCCCAGAATTCAGGCACATGCAATCTGAGGCAGCAGCTGTGAAGGGGCTTTCCCACTAGTAAGTTTGGACTAGATGCCTAAAGAGAGATTTGTCCAGATGCAAAGGTCCTTTATTGGCTCTGGCCTTCGGTGCCTATTCCTGTGAGCATTTCACATGCCTGAAATGAAGTATTATCGATGTAGAGGTCACACGTGTATATATAACTAGCTGCTGAGAATCACTGTTGTCTCTCTTCCCTGAACAGGCAGAGTACTTTGGGACAATCTCCATTGGAACCCCTCCTCAGGAGTTCACTGTTGTATTTGATACCGGTTCATCCAACCTCTGGGTTCCCTCCATCACCTGCCAGAGTTTGTCCTGCCGTAAGTAACTGAATGCTTTCTCCCCCATCTACACTACTCCTTTAATACGGTGTGATGGAACAGAGTGTGTGACAGACCCTATATCTGCCACTCAGGAGACCTAGCTTTAATGCCCATGCTCACAGCTAATTCCCAGGGTGACCCTCTGCCACTGGTTCTCAATCTTTTTAGGCTCAAGGAATCCCAGCATAGGCTTAAGACACGCTTCTCAAAATACCAGCTCTTTCTTTTCACTCATTTTTTGACTGCAGACAAATTCTAGACCAATTCTTCTGTTGTAAAGAACTTGAATAGGGTTATAACACTGTGGATTATAAGTGAAATCTCTGTGTTTACATTCTGACTAGGGTTTGCACACCCAACAGTGCTAACAATTTGTGGCACCCCATAGCCCTGGATCTCAAACCACTCCAGTATGCCACAGAGAATCATTACCTTTTGCATGTCTTGTTCTGCAAGCATGTTCATGCTTAATTCTGCTCACAATGCTAGTTGCCTTCCTTGGTTTACTTTCTGTGCAAGTAAAGTTAAGCCTATGTGTAAGTGGAATTTATGATACTGGATGTGTCTCCACATGCATTAATGCACTTTTCCTAATGCTCATTAAATTTAGTACCTCCAATGTGAGGTTCAATGATACAGGGATGGGACAGAGTTTTCTGTGGGACTGGCTGAGCAATTGCTGAATAGCCATCTTAATGCTACCAAGGTTTGGGCTGTATAGTTATCAGTGGGCCAATCTGGAATAGGTATCTCCTGAGCTCATCTTAAATTGGTGAATTATTGTTTGTCAGAGTGGGGACCTGGTTACCATTTCAATGCACAAATGCCAATAAAGGTTCGGAAAGGGGACTCCAAATCTTCAAACTCTTATGCATAAGTGCAGTCCCTTGAATTTCAATGAGACTAACTAGGTGCTTAGGAACAGGGACTTAAATCTGAATATAAAGAAGTTCTCTAGGCAGGCTCGTTTCCATCTGCACAATATTATCTCCATGCCTGAATTGTTCTTCTCTTGCTTCGGTGGCTTTTCCTATTTTTGGAGATTTCAGAGGTTAAGGCACTAGATAGTGATTCAGGGGACAGACAGAGGGGACAATTTTTAACCAATTTAGTTACAGAAAGCAGCTTATAACTGTGACCAAAAAGAAATGCGTGGCTGCAGACAGCTGCAGAAATGGCCAATTGGGCAAAAATGCAAACCTTCATTAAATAAAGGATCAGATAAAGACATTTCAAAACAGATCATCTTCTGTAACTTCTGTCTGGGAATGGGAGTGGGGAACAGAGGGATTTTGTTTTGGGGTTTTTTCAGCCCCTGCTGGAGGGTGGGTTTATTGGACCCCCTCCCCAAGGCTGGATAACCCCTAGAATGAGCTCCCTCTGCCCCCTTTCTCCCCTCCCATTACGAAAAAGGGACAGGCTGGGAGGAAGAGGGGCCATTTCCAGGGGAAATAATTTGCAGGTTGCAGCCAGCAGTAGATTCCCTTCCCCCTGGACCCAACAGTGAACTTCAATTTGGTTTGGGGGGATTTTTGCAACTCAGAACGTATCCTGCAAATTGTTCTCAGTCACAGCAGGGAGCTGCACTTCTGTCTGCACCGTCAGACTCAAACTCTGCTGACCAAGAATTCCAGTGTAACCTTGGGTGTATCACATATCCACTTTTCATCCCCAAAAACTAACATCACTGCCCTGCCCTTCCCCAGAGGGAACTTACGAGGATAAATGCATTAAAGACTATGAGGTACTATAATACTACCACATTTTCCCATATACAACATGCCCTGGAATAATATGCACCTTGTCTATAGGAAGGCAAAAATGAAGAAAAAATGATTTCCAGAATTATGGTTTCATAGGTCTGGGACAGAGCTAAAAAAAATCTGTGACAGGCTGTGATACAGAAGTGACATGAAGAGTAGCTAGAAGACAGGTAACTGCCAGAAGAAAGGATAGCTTTATTGATGGATGGAAATCAAGATTATTAAAGAGAGAGAGAGAGAGAGAGAATGTGTGAGAGTGAGAGACAGAAACAGAGAGAGAGAGATGACCATTCACAGCTGTTGACTGAAGAACAATGAACCATTAAATCAGTTTACCCCCACCACCCAACTGCCTGAAAGGAAATCTCAGTGCTGCTGCTGGACACTTGATCTTGGAGAAGAAATCAAAGCTGAGAGCTTCTACTTCAGGCAGAAATCCACTTTCCCTACTTAATATACACACCCTGATTTGGGGGAGAGGGGGGAGAACAGGTGTTTGATGCAAGAAAAACATGGTAGGTGGGAAGAAGCCAAAGAAATACCTTGGATATTACTAAGTGCTTATAAATGCACAACATGAAGTTAACAGCACTGATTACAATAAACAGTTATGTGCTGAGCTTTTTCCTCTTCTTTAGAGTAAGGCTGGATGCTGATGCTTTTTCTTAATATTCTTTTGCAGAATTTCACCGGAGGTTTGATCCGTCAAAATCTTCCACCTACCATAGCACCAGGAAATGCATATCCATTCAATATGGCACAGGCAGCATGGCCGGGGTTGTGGGATCTGATACAGTGATAGTAAGTACTAATGCAGCAGAACGACTACAGCCCTCCCCATTATTTCAGTGACTCACAAATGGGGTGGCACTGTGCCACCTTACACCTGCTGGGGATCTCACTCTGGAGGAGATAATAAATGCCAAGTCTCTCAGTAAAGTGACTTACTCCCTGGCTGCTACTCAAACAATGAAACAAGTTTGTCGTCTGTACCATTAGGCACCACTGCACAGACCCTCAAAGGGACTTAGGTGCATAACTCCTGGCTAAGAGGTGGGACATAGGCCCACTGCCCCAGGGACACATGCCATAGGTCATGCTGTTTCCAAAGATGTCACCTCTTCACAGGGGGTACTTTGCCTCTGTACAGTACCCTTTTAGGGCTGTAGCTCTATGGCTGGGGGCAGACATTCAAAAAGCCTGACCCTATCTTTATTTAATCTTTGCAGGTTAGGTGAATCTGCAAAGCTTGAACCAACTTGGAGGTGTATAGACATTCCCTTTTTATTCCAGAAATACAGGCACGTGCCGGCAGTAGCTCAGGCTAGAAGCCAGGGGGTGTTAGACTAGCCCTTGCTTTCCTTTCAGTGTTGAGCTGAGGAGGGCCGCATCAGGCCCCAGCAGGATGCTCTGATTAGAGACAGGTTCCCCCTCACCCCGCAGCAGCCCAGCAGGGAATTGATAACACAGTGTTTATCACCCCTCGCTCTGTGTTTATCAGCTCATTAAGGAACAAAAAAGGGCTTTTCTCATTATTTTGAGCTTTTAAACAACTTTTTGCAAGGAAGGAATGGAGGGATGTTACCAGCTACCTGTTCATTAGCTCCCAAAAGCCCTAAGACGAACTGTCCTGTCTGCCTTTGTCTTGTCATAGCCAGCGTGTGGTATGCTAGCTAATGATGAGAGGGCTCTGTGTAAGGCTGGGGGTGGGGGGGAATCCCTGCTTCAGCAGGGAGCAGTGAGGGGCAGGAAGGGAGCAGGAGGAAGTCAGGTAGACCCTGCTATACCTGCAGTCTGTGCTGGAGCTGCAGCCAGAGAGCAGAGGGGTGGGGCCAGCCCAACCCTCTGCAGCAGACAGCCTTGCCCAGTCCAAAGAGCATGCTGGGATGCTGGGAGACTCTGATTTAACTCAAACCAAGAAGGGGTCTGGGGCAGGCAATGCCCCCAGAGCCTGGGGGCGGTGGAGGCAGGGGTAGGGGCATGTTGGCAGTGAGTGGAGAGCTCCTGCAGCTGGCCACAGCAGTGTCAGTGGCATGGGGGTAGTGGGGGGCAAGCACTAACTGGCAGTCAGTGATCACCTGCACATGCCACCAGCAATGTCAGAAGTTTGGGCGTAGGGGGTGGTGAGTGTCGACTGACCACAGGTGCTGCTGCTCAGTGGGTGCATTACCAATTGCCAGGGTTGCATGTGCACTCGTGTGCACCCCGTACACATCGCCAGTGGGCATTGCATAAATCGGTTTGACCCGAATCAGTTAAGCTTGATACTACATTCAACCAGGTTTATCCCAAATTGGTATCAGCCAATTTCAAATTGGTTTATGTGCACTGAACATCTTTTCTGTTACAGGTTTAAACCAGTTTCTGATCACTTAAACAGGTTTATGTGTAATGTCTGTCCCTAGCCTATAAGCTCATCCTTGCTCAGTAATGGGGTTACAACAGCCATCTGCCCTGGCCATAGGCCCATGCAGAGTATACTCACAGCACATGTATTTGCCACTTTCACACCCCATGGGAGCACTGGTTTCTTTGGCTCCATTCGTATATAGCTCTCCACAGAGGTGGTGCCAGAAGTGAGTGGCCAAACAATCATAAAGGCCATCCACCCAGTGCTAAACCAGCATCTTTGCAATAGGCAGCTGGGGAGGGGACTATTCTGCAAGCACATTACCCACTCTGCCATCCCCCAGAGCCCTGCCAGTCTGTCTTTTCCAGGGGTGAATACCTCCAGTGAAGTCCCCAGCACATATTCACGCATTGAGAGCTGCCCACAGTAGGCACTGTAACTGTGTCTGGTCCCTCTGTGGCAGAGGAGACGGTTTACACACACACAACTTGAGTCATTTACTCTGGTGTTCACCCCTCTTCTGGGGCAGCTCTGACCACTGCAAGCTGTCTCTCCTGCTGTCAGGATGGGTAAACCACAGAGCAGCAAAAACATCTCTTGTAAGGAGAGACTTACCCCCTCAGTATTGCCTTTATGTGACATGAGCTTCAAATTCCCATCAGCTCAGTGGTTTTCTGACCAGATAAGGAGCTAAAGAACTGATCCATCTCTTTCCCAGGTCTCCTCCTTCATCGACACCAACCAGCAGCTAGCACTGGCAACCAGCGAGCCAGGAATCTTTTTTATTTTCTGCAATTTTGATGGGATCCTGGGCCTGGCCTATCCAAATCTAGCTACTGATAGGCTTATTCCTGTCTTTGATAATATGATGAACCAGAACTTGGTGCAGCAGCACTTGTTTTCAGTGTACCTGAGTCGGTAAGTGACTTGTTAAGCACGGAAGTGATGCATTTCCATGGGAGTATGGTGGAAAATCCAAAACCAAAATCCTCTGCCTCCTGTTGTTAGCTTCATTTTATAAATGTGACGTCTCAGGCATACAGAGGTGCAATGACTTGCCTAAGGCCACCATCACCAGTGGTAGAACCAGGAATAGAGCCCTGCTCTCCCAACTTCCATGGTGGTGAACTGTCCACAAGAACACATCACCTCCTCATTGAAACAAAGTCCTGCTCCCTGTCCGTGGGCTGTTACCAGTGACTCTTTAGCAAGCAGTGATTATGATGCTAGCCTGAGTTTCATCCTGGCCTGACTCGCTATATGACCTGGGGCAAGGCAATGTTCTTCTCTGTGCTTTTGGTTCTCGCTCTATAAAATGGGGATACTGCTGTTGAAAGTGCTCTCATGCCCCTAGTGAAAAGTGTCCTAGGAGAGCTAAATTATTCATTAGTTGTTGTGATGTGTGATCAGTCACCAAAGTCACACTCTCCTGCTCCTGCTACATGACTTAAAGGATTTCAAACAGAGGAACAGCAAATGGTGAAAAAGAAGTGATGATCTTGCTGGTGGGAATAAACTTAAACTGATCATTTCTCTGAAATGATTCAGTTAGAAATAAATGCAAATTTTTTCCCCCTGTTTTTTGAAGGAAAGCAATTACTTTAGGAATGGTCCATTATTGAGACTAATTCTATGTCAAAGATATTGTCTTAATTAGTTTCTGTTTCTGTACAGCACCTAATACACTGGTATTTCAAGATATTATGTGCATTCATCATTTTTAGGAACCAAAATGGTAGTTCGGTCACTTTTGGTGGAACTGATGAATCTTACTTTACTGGCCCTATCCACTGGATCCCTGTCTCTCACCAGGGCTATTGGCAGATCTCAATGGACAGGTATGTAACACACAAAGGTAATTAAATAACTATGATGCTCTTTGGTACACTTCCACAGTTGCAATTATAAACCCAAAGCTCATTTTTC